AGTGCCGTTTTATGGTGGGTCCTTGAGTTTATTGAGGGTCTGGCCGGCTGGCGATGGGCCGCTGGCTGCTAGGCAGCGTCGGCTGGAATGCAGATGTTCCATGCGACGCAACATCCTCCCCCCGTTGAGAGGGCACCAATCAAGTTCTATATGTGGGTTAGATGGGTGTGTGATCCACCCCCTTCGACGTCAGGGATTGTCCGGACTCATCTTGAGCTGGTTGACATGGCAGGGGATGATCCACCTCCTTCGATGTCAGGGATTGTCCGGACTCATCTTGAGCTGGATGACATGGCAAGGGGACCAACCGTTTGACCCCGCGGTCCAGGAGGCTCGATGATGTCTGCACAGTCGCTGTCCGTATTATGCCATCGGCTCCGGGATGGACCTTGACTACACGGCCCAAGGGCCAATGCATCGATGGGACATTGTCTTCTCTGAGGGGGACGATTGTACCTTCTTGTATGCTGTGCTCCCCTTTGGTCCATTTACTGCGGTTGTTCAATTGATTGAGGTACTCCCCTTTGGTCCATTTACTGCGGTTGTTCAACTGATTGAGGTATTCCTTGTGCCAGCGTTTCCAAAAATATTGTTTGAGTTTTTGGATATGCTGCCATCTGGAGAGCCGGTTGGATGGAGTGTCCCTGAAATCTCGCTCACGCAGACTCATTAACGACTTGCCGATAAGGAAGTAATCCGGAGTGAGGACGAGGAGATCCTTGGGGTCAGTGGATATGAGTGTCAATGATCGGGAGTTGAGAACTGCTTCGATTTCTATGACGAGTGTATTGAATTGCTCGAACGTGAGCAATTCATTGCCAACGATGCGTCTGAAGTGATGTTTGAAGGACTTCACCGCTGCCTCCCATAGTCCCCCGAAATGTGGAGAATGAGGAAGTATGAAGTGCCATTCGATTTGCTTGTTGGCTAAGAAAGTAGTTACCTTTTCGATATGATCGTCCGATTTTAGCAATTCGTAGAGCTCCCTTAAGTCGTTGTTTGCGCCGATGAAATTTGAGCCATTATCGGAATGGAGGGCCGAACAGAACCCTCGCCGTGCGATGAATCGACGAAGAGCGGCAATGAAGGCTTCGCTCGTGAGGTCGCCAACGAGTTCGATGTGCACCGCCTTGGCTGCTAGGCATATGAAGATGGCTACATACACCTTGACCTGTCGACGGTTGCGCTCTCGTTTCTCCTTGATGTAAAATGGCCCACAGTAATCGACGCCGACGTTTGTAAATGGTCGAGATTCAGTTACTCGCGCCTCCGGCAGATTACCCATTATGTAATCTACTTGTGGTGGATGAGCATGAACACAGCTGACGCAGTTTTTGATCGTATGCCATACCTGTCTTCTGCCATCGATGGGCCAGTATCGTGACTGCTGCCATCGATGGGCCAGTATCGCTGTCTCATTGCGTATAAAGTCGCTTGTGTACCTGCGTGCAGACTGACCTTGTGCACGTTTTCGATGATCCGGGACGTTGTCGGAGATTTGGGTAGGATGATCGGGTGCTTCTGTGTGAAGGCCATCGGTGCTTGACTCAGTCGGCCCCCGACGCGCAATATTCCTGCCTTGTCTATAAACGGATTGAGTCGTTGGAGTTTCCCATTGACCGGCATGTTTCGATTCTTCCGGAGCGTGGATGGCTCTTCTGAAAAATGAATATGTTGGAGTAACCGAATGAGTCTGTCATGGGAAACCTGTAATTCTGCTGCGCTTAGTGGTGACGATCGGTTTTGTGCTTGTCTCCACCGGAGACAGCGAGCGGCGATGCGGATTAACCTTGGCCACGATGAAAATCTGTCCAAGAGGCTGTTGTCGCCAGGAGTTGTGGCGAGACAAGTTGCTGCTTTCCGTTCTGGTAAGTTGGCTAGAGGTGTTGGACTCCACATCGGCCAACACTCTTCTGGTTGTTGCAGCCACCGAGGTCCAGTTTGCCAGATGCTAGGCTGCAGGAAGTCTTCGGGTGATTGTCCTCGCGAACTCAGATCCGCCGGATTGTCATTGGTGGGAACGTGACGCCAATCTGTGAAGCTGGTTTTGTTCTGGATCTCGGCTCGATATGCAATGCCTGCCTTACGATTGCAATTATTGACGTAAGTAGAAGAGCGTCACTCAGTTCAAGTCGTGGAATGGTTTGCGTTTTGAGTGGAGCTACCTTCGACTTCACAGTGAGTAGTCGTGTCTGGACGTTTCCGTGATGATCGAGAGACCTCAGATAGACACAGGCTCCGTATGCCCTTTCGCTGGCGTCACAAAAGCCGTGGAGCTCAATTTTGATGGGTGTTTTTATTATTGTCTTGCGTGGGAACCGTATCTCGTTGAGTAGTGATAGTCTGGTGTAGTACCGGTTCCACTCGGAATGCAAATCCGCTGGCAGGGCCTCGTCCCAGTCAACTTTTAACGACCAGACTCGTTGAAGTAGAATCTTCGCTCGAACGATCACTGGTGCAAGCAAGCCTAGTGGGTCGTAGATTCTGGCGATCACTGAGCTGATGGATCGCTTCGTAACCCGAGAAGTCTTGGCGTTGGCTTCGACCGAGTAGAGTATTGCGTCGTCCTTGGAATCCCAAAAGATGCCTAGGGTTTTTAGGGCTTGATACTCACCTAATTGTAGCCTTCGGCTTTTGTCCTGTTCGGATAACCCTTGGAGGATGCTCTGGTCGTTGGAAGCCCATTCTCGAATGTTCAAACCGGCGGATTGGAGAAGTTCGGTTAGTTCCCTTCTGAGGGACAGTACCTCTTCCTTCGTGTCCGCTCCGGTAAGAGCGTCATCGACGTAGAAGTCTCGTCGCAGAGCCGATGAATAAGTCTCGTCGCAAGGCCGATGACGCTCCTGGAAATCGATGTCCTTCATCGTCTGCTAACTGCTTGAGACACCGTAGGGCCAGGTATGGAGCTGCCGATAACCCGAACGTCACGGTGTTAAGTTGGTAGGTTTCGATTTCCCCCTCCTCGTTACGCCAAACGATTTATTGATAGTGTCGGTCCTCTCTGGTCGCACCAGGAACTGCCTGTACATCTTCTCGATGTCCCCGGTGAGCACGTACTGATACAGACGGAATCTAAGCAGGATATTGAATAGATCCTCTTGCAACTTGGACCCTGTATGGAGTGTGTCGTTTAATGATACTCC